GTGACTTAGTGGATTACTTTCTCTCTGTAAAACTCAGCCTGTTTGCTCGAAGTCACTTTTTATACCGCCGAGTGGTACCTAGTTGTGGGCGTGCAGACACCAGCATCTTGCTCATCCGTTTACTGTGGCGGTCGGTCAATCAACTTACTTATTATTTCAGCACTCTTGAAGCCCAGCAAAACAGTCACCATTCAAGCATCTAAGGTCCTACCAAAAATGGGGAAGCTTCCGATTGACAATCTGTTAGTCCAATTTTGTTAACTCACTTATTTCCGGAACCAAGTTGACCGCAGAACCAGATAAACTCCGACTTAAAGTCATATAGAATGCCGCTTCGTGCTGTTGAATTTTACCTTATGTGACACCGCCCTTGATTTTATAAGAATACTGCAGTATTTCCAAGAAGGCAGCTCCATAGATTAATATATCGGAACCCCTTTATATTTTACTGTTACGAAATCAAGATCACTCTGATATGCTTCATACGGACTACCTCGAATACTCTTGTAGCCCGGCCATTTCAAACCGAGTCAAACGTTTCGTCTACAATTAATACGGACAAACTTACTAAAGCTGGACTGGTCATTTTCTTTTTATTTGTTGTCATCAACTAGCTGTACCACAAATGCAGGTAGAAAATATCCGCTTCTTCGCCTGTGTCTGTTATTTGAAAAACGTTTAATTTAAATAGAATCCACATAGTCAATCCTGATTTCGTTTAATTGGTGTATTATTTCCTTACCACTGCTCTCTTTTTGTATCCCAGGTACTTCAATCAGTAGCGATTCACTTGGAGTACTAGTTCGTTTTTCTGCCTGTTTCTGACGTTAAGAAGTCCTACAATGAATGACGTTGCCCCATACGTGGACTCAAAAACCGTCTTCCTCCTTGTACGTACACCCAGATTGACAAAACCTGCCGGAACCCCTTTCACGTTTGACCATCCCATAAAATCGAATAGTGGTACTAAGAGGGATCCGGTCTCTGTTCAAAAGCCTCTATGGTCCTTCGTGGTGGAAGGCGTTCTCGAGTATGCGCGACTTGTCTTTGATCTCTTTTCGGCCTCTAAACCGGTAGGTTTTCGTTGTTATGCCAATAGTCGTTTATGCTTAGATCTCTATTGTGACGGTTGATTCCGAGGAAAAGATCAACTCGGTTTGGTATGAAGAAGATCAGAGTCTGGAAGCTGTAAGTCTATGTGCATGTTCAAAATTAACTGCTTTTATCATCAGGTTTGGAAAATATTTTCCAACGAAGGTCTCTCCAACGCTTCTCTGGGCGTAGACTCCCTGGATACTTTACCCGGTTTACACTCATGCAAAAGCGTTCTTCAACTGCCCACACCAGCGCAGAGTGCCGGTGGCGTCAAGGTTAACGCTGGTCGTGTCATTGTTATTGGAACAGACTTGAAGTACCGCATACATTTCGAAAAGGTGAATTATTTATAGGAAAAAGATCAAGGCGTGGATCTCCGGAATTCTTCGCCAGATTCGTGAACCACCACAGGAGTCAGAGTGAGTGGCATTATTGTTGACTAAGAGCCCCGCCAGTTAAACGACGATTGTGAAGTCTGAGAAACGGATGGAACTAATTTATTACTTTCTAGAATATTAACTTCGCCCACAAGAAACGCAGACACAAAAATTAACTCGCGGTCATAAATGACGATTACTAAAGTACTAAAGTACGATGACTAAAGTACTCAAATTACAATCCTGACTTAATGCTTTCCTTTTTATGCTCGAATCGACTGTATACTACAAAAACTTGCTTGCTTAAGTTTGTGAAACCAAAATCAGCAGCAAGCTCGCAGATCCATAGTATCTACTCTATTTAAGGTTTAAGGTTTTCCTTAAGATGGCTGACTAGATTCTTAACAGGTAGGATCATA